TTTACCATGGCCACGACAACCATGATCACCACTTTACATTTATCACACTTTCGCATTCTCTTGCATGCATTTGATTTCTTCCAACCTGTGCCATTTCATTTTCCTTCATCCCAATCCGCCACCACACCATATCTACTACCATTGTCACAATCTCCCACACTACCAAAATCACCACTTTACACTTTTCACTCTTTCGCATTCTCCTGCATTCAATTTGTCTTCTGCTCTTACTTTTTTTTCATCCTCTGCGATTTTATTCTCTCTCATTCTTTTTATTTCTTTTCTTTTCTGCTGCTCTATTTACATTCTTTTGGTTTACTTCTATTTCCATTTAAACTTTTTTTCTTTAATTTTTTTTTTCTTATTTCTTTTTCATTTTGCGTGTGGACTTTCTTTCTTGCAATTCTCACTCTCGTTTTTTCCACGCATCTCATTCGCTACCGCCACACCCGCAACGGTCAACTTTTTATCGATCACGCTTTTGCATTCTTCTCTTTTCACTTTGTCACTTTCTGTAACTCTGGTGAGTTTTCCATCACTTTGCCCACTAGTTTTGCGCTTGTGTTTGTGTTTGTGTGTGTATATTTTTTCATGCATTCTGGCATTGGTTACGACCACTTCCTTTTGTGCGCCCTGTCTTCGGGGTATCAGCGTTTCCGAATGCTGAAACAAATAAATTGGCACATTATCTGATACAAGTATAATGTCCATTTTGACGTTTCCATCTTCCGTTTCGCATTCATTTATGCCTGTTAACTTTTCGGAGAACAATTACTTAATTATTAGAAGGAAACCAATAGATCATTGCAGTGGGATAGGAGGCACTGCAAACGCGATCTCACTGCTTCCCCACACATCTCCAGACTCTCATTTCGCCCCTGCTCCACTTCCGCTCCGTTGGTGCGACCGCATTGCACATATTTTCCTTCTCTAATTCCTATTGTTATGAAGCTACCTTAAGCAATATACCACCGAATCTCTCACCGTTACAGGTCTTGTTTGTTCTCAGTTCGCTATGTTATGGCCTTCGCAATCTAACTACATCCTTTCTGGTCCGCCGACTACTTTTCGTTCATCGTTCTTTGGTGCACACTTGTTTATTTTTGACCTTCCGCGCTTCAATGTTGGATGTACATATAATATATACTAGTTTGTTAAAGTGTATTTTTATAGGTGAGAGTCGGGAACCAATTGCGAATACGAATCACGTGCGTGGAGCCTGCGAGGAGCCTCCCTTCAATCGATATCTCCTACTCGCCCCACCTTTATCATATTTCCCATCCTTCCTGATAACAAATGCCTAATAACCCAACCACAACCAACTGTCTATTGAAGTCTGAGGTTCAGAGACCAGAGAGTAGACAAGCGTCTCCCAGAGTACTTTTCGAGAATTTGCTCCTGTTTTAAGAGCTATCGTATTCGAGGGAACAAAATGGTTGTATTGCTTTCTTGCTCCATCTCCTTTTTCTGTTACCCCTATTTCTTGTAGAAGGACCTTTCTGTACTTCGAAAATACCAAAGGCAGCTGCTAATTAAACGTTTATTTTCCATCACTGAGATGCATCCCTCTTGGTTAGGTTAGAATTCAGCAATGTGTTCTGGGGAGCATGATGAATATCCCTTATAGTTGGATTGGCTTCCTTTCCGCAATTACATTGCAGTTGGAGTCGATATAAAAACCACAAATGTAGGCACTAATTTTGCAGCATATGAGTTCCTAAGTGGAATCTTGATTGTCTTCTAGACTGCTAATTCGAGTTAAGCACGCAAAAGCAGTGGTCATGAGTTAGGACTAGCATTGACTTCAAATTAACCTTCAGTGCTTCGGCGCTGAAAATAATTTGTTAGTCAACCATAGCCATGCCATTGGTTTGCTTAGTGGACAAAATCGATAATCGATTGACTATTAAAGCTGCCGCATTATTTACGCATTGAGCGGAAATCGGAGGCCTAACACGACAAATGTGCGTGACTGATGTGATGATGATTTGCGCATTCGTTATGTGCATCAAGGCAGCACCTACGGCAAAGTCCACTGACTGCATCCAATATTCCCTTTGGTGGTGGGCATCCAGAGCTAAATTCGGCTATCCTGTGCAATTCACCACCCTGCGAATCTATTACTTTGATGAATGGGATGATTTTAAGTCCGAATGGTGGATGGCTTGGCACTTGGTGGATGGCGCCAACTATGAGGTTCCCAAGTACTTGAAGGAGAAAAACTACATACCAACGAACTGGAAGTAAGTACACGTATAGTTCGGTTTTGAAATCTTACACACTACTCTAAATTTCATTACTTTCTTGTTGAAGGAGTCATTGCGTGCCGGGTTCGAATTCAATGGGAGATGACTACATGCTCCATGACTTTAGTGAAGACGACTCGCGTCAACCAGAATCGGTTCTTAAACTTGTGTCTCCGCACCAATCATACTACCACGGCGACTGGCTCAAACTTTTCCTCTTTTTCTACAACCTCTGCTACTGCCTGCGAGGTGTCGTGAGTCATCATTAAAATCATTGGCACAACTTAACTACCTCACTCATTTGTAAGTTCGTGAGCAGGTGAGGCCTTGTGTTAAAATGAAAGTAGGCGGTTGAACTCTCTATCTTCTGTTTTAGTTTACTTGCACTCAAACCCTAGCTAATGTCAAATCGAAGTTTGATTTTCCTGCACGCCTCTTGCTCGGCTTTTGTAGAAATACTATCAAATTTTCATAGTATTGCAGCGGGACAGAGCCGATGCTGAATAGTGTAAAACAATGACAAGTCCCTTCTAGGCTACTGAAAGATATATCCTAAGCAATCCATGGCCTCAAAAAAGGATTGAGCAGCGTGGTCTGCAGCAGTCATCCGCTATTTCGTGGCACAACCTCCTCTTAGGTTGTCGAGACGGAATAGTGCAATCGAAGCGACAATTAATATCATTTTATCCCTTTAACTTGCAACGTTGCTGTGCTACTCATCCAACATGAATCGCGCTTCGGATACGCAATGAAAGTGTTTCTTTTTGCAGCTTTTTCTGAAACAGTCTTATGCAAGCAGTAAATCGCCATTGATGAACTCATCGTCAATTACCTCAAATATGTTTGGCTACGCTGTACTCACCTTTAGCCTTGGATTTTTGCAACAGTAAACAACAGGTTTATGACGCGGTCATAAATTATTACCTGGTTTATTGTGGTTGAAGTTTGCCATGAGTAGCTAAAAATGGATGTCAATAAAAACCTCAGGCGAGCAGCGAGTGTTACCGTCAATATTCCTTGAGGTGGTTCCGTTGACAGAGCGGTGAAGTCGATTATTTACGAACTTTTGAAGGGTTAATGAGAATGTTGAATGTTGATGAATTGTTGCCAGCTTTTAACTTTTGCAAAAGAGATTTTAAGAATACGTACAAATTGGATGTTCACATTCCCCTTCATAGGCGCAACTTGTGGGGATTCTTCCTCGAACGCCTGTCTGTGCGCTTGCGTGGGAAAATTTTGCTTTTGAGCCAAATCACAGAATCATTCCCGAGATCGAGTCAGAAGAGGCACCTCTATGTTATGGTCGTACTAATGGAAAACGTGAATGCTTCTTGGGCACTTGACAATTTCGATGGTCCGAATAAGTGCTGGCATTGTGAGGACACAAGAAATTTAATGTGAGGAGCATTTACGTCTATTTGAACGCATGAGACGGAGACAAATAAAAAGGGATTGGTTTAAGTGACCTTTTTGTAATCGGTAAACTTTGATCAGAGCATCCGAGTGATCAAAGGTTCACAAAGTGTGGAACAATCACGAGAAGAGGATACATGTCGTCTGGTCAGATAAATTGTGTCATTCTTCGCTCTGCATCGTCTGTCGCAAATTCGAACATACTGTTGCACGAAATGGCTTGAATCTGCGCCGTTTTTTACATCCTTGGCTCCTGTTGAATTTTATCGGTTCTTAAAACATCATTGGAGGTGGTGAAGAAAAGTTATTTTAAATTGCGTAGGTCTGCCATGCATTCACGGCTAGTCCTACTTTGATGGGCGTACAAATGAGACTGAAGCGAAAAAAATGAAAGTAGCAAAATTGCGTGTGCAGCTGTTTTATTTCAATTGCAGACGTAAACTGCATTTTCCTTGCCTAGAAAACTGACCGAACCTGCCCAAACGCCTGCTGGCGACCGCAAGTTTGCACAAATGACACCAATTCAGTGCACATTTGTAGGCCAATACGCGATCCCTCAGCCGCCGAGGCTCTCCATCCGGCGAGGAAAAGCCGATTTGCCGAGATCTACTCCATCGGCTACGAGTGTATCTGTCGAAGCGGCTTCAAGTTCAGTCAAAAGCACAAAAAATGCATTCAAGTAAAATCCAGTTGCAATGACAAGAGGTATGAGGAGCGAATGCCCACTTACTTCGCAATCCTTAATTGATAAAATGCTTTCCACACTGTTATTGTTGATGTTGTTCAAATGAGAAGCCGAGCAAACGTTGACACTCGTAAAGCCTTGTTTAGATACGGACGAACACCGTGCAGAAATAAAGGCTTGTGTCAAGCCTTAAAAGTGCAGGAGAGGAGGCTTCAGGGCGTCTCTTTTAAATGTAAATGCCCACCTGCTTGGCAAGGATACGTATGTGAGGTGAGAAATAAAAACATGTACATGATAAGTGTAATTTTACAACAATTGTGCACTATTTGTAGCCATCATCACCAAAGGATCAGTTTAAAGCTGGAAAGGGAACCAAAATCATAATTTGTCTCCAATAAAGCCTCAAGCAAGACCTCATCAATACCTCTTTATTTTTAATACTTTTCGATAGAAAAAGCGTCTGATTTACTCCAAAGTTAACCCGTGGTTGGGCACCGTCAAGAGCTAATCAAAATTAGCAGTAATAAAGGTGACGTAGAAAGCCCAGTACATTGTCATGACAACTGTTAGTGTACGAGGCTCAAAGCGATTAAATCTTTGGAGAAGTCTGATGCTTTAGGCACCGCGTAATCCGTGTCAATACCAAAATCGACTGTGCAGAGACTTTCCATGCCAGCGTGATCCCACAAACGAAGCCCTCGGTTACATATGCGCTTGTTCAAAGGGCTACGAGCCAAGTAGCCAGATGGATCCGACCTGTGTCAACATCAACGAGTGCCACAACGATGATGCCAATCCCTGTCTTAACGGCGGAGTCTGTCACGACCTCATTCCACCACCCATGGCGCAGGCAAACCATGGTGAAGAACTTCGATTCCGGTAGGCTTCATAATCGTAATAGCATTTTTTCGGGATATTTACAGAGCCACGAGAAGAGGTGCAATTCTTAACCGACTTTTATCACGTTTCTTCTCATAGTGCCTTTGAGCCACCCTCCACGGTCTTTTAATTTATTAAGTCTGGTCCACATCTTGGCAGTGGGAGGAGCATTCTAGGAGTGTGGACTGCTGCGTATGAATACTTTACTTCTGTCACCACAAAATGACACTATCATTCCCCGTCTCCTCTGTTTCGGCTCTATCAGTGTCGAGATAAAGAGGCACATTTATGCATTTGAGAAGCTGGCTTTGGGAAGCACGACTTCGCTGGCCTTCCTTTTGCTTAAATGTTTCACAACAGAGCTTACCATGCACAAAAACAATTCCTTTAAATGTAGTCAGCCAGCATGCCAAAGAGAAGTAGTAAGCGCGGGCCTTCTGAAAGCCCATCTCCAAAGTCGTAATTTAAGAGTTCGACTTGCACAGACGGCCTAACAGCAGAAGTGAAAATGTCTTTATTTTTTTTGCAAGGATAGCTGCGAGTGCAAATTCGGTTTCACGGGCACGTTGTGTGAGAAGCCGCCATCACAACTGGCATGGTCGGAGTGGAGCAAGTGGGGCACGTGCTCGGTTACCTGTGGCATCGGCACTCGAACTCGCACCCGCACATGTCCAAGGCCAGGCGAATGTCTCGGTAAGCCTGAGCAGATTGTGATTTGCTCTGGAGTCGTACCATCTTGCGAAAACGCCAAAAACATCACATCTGAAGATGGCAAATTGAACGTTGCCTTCAAGTCGGAGATGGAGAAGCTACGAGATGTAAGTAGCCACATCACCTCCGATAGACTTGGTTAGGTGATAGAAGGCCTTAAAGTTGTAAGCTGTATGACCCTGGAAACAGCTTAGACTGAAGTTTCTCTTAAGCTTTGACACAAACGCTGATGCATGCACTGTTGATTGGCTAGGCTGGTGTTTTGTGGACAGAAGAGGAGGACAACTTGTTGGATGATGCATTCACATGGTCTGAGCAACAGTATGATGTGAAGAGGGTGAGGAAAAAAGGCACACAAAGCGTTTACCAGTTGTTTAGTCAATGGGCGGACGTAACGCGTTGGATATCTCTGTTTGGTATCGCTCACCGAATGACCTTGCAGCAAATTGCCCTCATCACTGGCACCTTGGCCCTCACCTCAATAAGTGTGTTCAGCATTTTTGTCATGATGGTCACCTTTTGCCAGCCTATCGGCTTTGCTCTGCGACGCGGGGAGACTTCTCACTAAAGTCGATTTTTTTAATTTCCATTCCTGACCCTCTCCTACTCCCTCTCAACCCCACACAAAACCTCATGTTTAAACAACAGAGATCTTTTTGATAAATGAGTAATAAAGTACGACACCTGCTGTGGCATCGAATTGGTTGTGCACGCTAATCCTAGAATCGGCTTCACTACATTCACAGGGAAGAGTGGATGCGCATGATAAGGAGCACAAAATCCAGCCAACTGCTTGACCTGGCGGGGAACGAAGGAGCTGCCAATATATTAGCTAACGCCGATAATCACCTCAAAGCATGCATACGTTGAAGCACTTAATAATTATATAGACAATGTTGGAGGAAATCTTTTTGGAATTTCAGGTAAAATATTAACAGTTGGGTCGCTTGGGTCTATAGAGCCCTGAAGGGCCCAGCACAAACCATCTGTATTGCTTTTATTGCACGCATTTAGATTCTGAGTGTTACGTGACAGTCTTCATGTCTGGTTTGGCGATGTTGTGGGTGATTTGGCAAACTAATTAATGGAGTATAAATGTGGAACAGATGGACACTTCATTGC